GTACCTCCCACCTCATGGGATCCCCTTCACTCATGCTCCCAAAATCACCTTTACTTCTAGAGCTATAGATATGTGACTGATAGTAATATTAATGCTGTGAGCTCCATACAGTTGCCTCAAGATCCATGGGTCTGCTGCAGCCTGTGACCTGCCAACCCATGTGGATGTCACCAACAGCCAAGGATACCTCAGTGCCCTGAGCTCTGAGGAAGTTGCTGAGGGCTGTTTGCAGGCAAAACTCCAGGTCTGAGTGGGGAAACAGAGACTTTGTGGCTTGGCCAAACTTGCCAGGACCATACCTAAATGTAATATTCTGTCAGAGGAACTCTGATCTACATACATGTTGTATTTAGGTGCTTTTCTCATTCCTCACCATGGTAAAAAGGTTCTGCCTCAGTGGTGGGGACCTGGGGCAATTCCATTTTATTGTGTCTGCCATAGCACCCTGTGGTCACCATTCCAGACTGCACAATCACCACAGCTGCTTCCTGCCCTGCACACAGCCACAGGCCTTCCTTCCCTGCACCTGCTGTGGCTGTGGGCAAAGGGTGTGCCCTAAGAGAATCCTGTGCCAGAGGCAAAGGTGAGCCCCGTGTTCCCTCCAGCATTGTACAGGGCTTACCTGGCCCCTCTCCATCCTTGTGGAGGATATAAGGCATCACTGGATTGCCAGAAATCTGTAGGACTGAGCCAGTTTGAGACTGACTGAAAGATTTGCTGCCCTGAGGATTGTCCCATGCTTGGTTTTTCCTGTTCTGTTTGTGAAAGTCACCAGTGCCAGAGGTTGCACAAAGCAAAGCCAAACCAAATCTCAAAATGGGAGGGGTGAGGGAGGCAATCTCATGGACTCCTTTTACCATGAGGTGTGCTAGGGGGTAGGCCCAGTTGGATTGTAGGGCACAGATTAGGGCTTTGTCAAGTGTATGCACTCTCCTGGGTGGATGCAGGATCTGGAGGAAGTTTGCATTACGCTGAGGGAGAAACTTTGAATTGGTTCATGAGCTCTGGCTGGTAATGGCCTGTGTCAGAGTGTGGACTTGTGTTTGCATTCATGACATGCAGCTATGGAGCTGGAGGGGCTGGAAGCAGGATATGAGGCACTGATAGACACTGACTCTGTAGGTTCGGAGAAGCAGCACTTTTTAGAGCAAATATAGTGTCCCAAGGAGCCAGCAGTTGCAGTGTCCATCCTTTTGGCAACAAACATTTGAACTCTACCTGAGCTGAAGGTGGAGTCCGTTCTATTTCAAATATCAGAGAGAATCTAGACTGTCAATGAAGTGCTGAATGGCTCTGGACAAATGGAAGGTGCTTTCCCTAGACTGAGGTAAGGATTCTGCTTTGCTCTAATGCTAAACTTGGTCTTTGCTCAGTATAAAAATCTCAATTTCTATTAATGCAAAGCATTTTGCCATCCTAACATGTTCTGTTGATCTACATTTCCTGCCTCACAGCTCATATAAGATTTTCTGATAGTGGGCTGGGCTATTTTATAGGAATTCTGTAGAGAGATACAGCTGGCAAAGCAGTTGTTTCTTTCTCAAAGCTGCAGATGTTACAAGCTGTATTTATCCCTATACTTCCCAGGCCTTTCCAGGTGTGATCATCTCATGGCTGTGCATTCACTGGCTTGGCCCCAGTGCCTGGCTGGGAACACCTTGGCCTTCTTGACCCTGTAACTGGCTGAAGGGCCAGGTAATGGTGGCTGGAAATAGAAACCAAGCTGTATGGCTCCCCTGCAGCGCCCCAAGTCCTTTGCCAGGCTGGCTCCTGTTTAGCATCTGGAGCCAAGATGGAGCATTTGGGGCAAAGCACTCACAAGAGGGATGACTCCTGCCAGCCAGGAGATCATTGTTCTGCAGGGTCACCCTAGGCTGGAGCACAAGGAAAGGGTGGGACGGGAGCGGTCTCCAGGAGCTCTGTTCCTTTGGACAATTGGTGTGACTCCCTTGCGTGTCTTTCAGAGAGGGCATGCACCAACCACTGTGGACCCCTTGCCTTCTTGCTGCAAGCAAGGATCTCCTGAAGGGATGCTGGAGCAGGAGTCTGCTGTGCAGGTAGAAGGGGGGAAGGGGCGCGTTCATTGTATTGTAGTGGGCTCTAGGCCCTACAAAGAGCCTGGAGTGCTGTCACTAGACCTCATTTGCCACTTCAGTTCCATCTCGGTGTCCTCCATTTGGGACTGTGCCCAGCCAAGGTCTGCAGGGACCTGTGAGAAGCCTCAGTTCTTCTGCACACTGTCTCCAGCCCAGCCTGCTTTGTGTGGCACAGACCAAGAGACAGTGTGGTTTTGGCCACAGAACTGTTTCATTTTGCTTTATATGGCTGAAGTTTCATCTTCCTTTGAACTATTTGAAGAGTAGGTTCATGCACATGGGCTCCTCCCTGTTAACAGCTCACAGACGTGTTTATGAAGTGTGGCTCAGGCATGACATTCGCTAAACACTGTGCCCAGCCTGGCAACTCTCCCCAAGTTCCTGACGTAGGACGACCCATAATCTCCAGACTCCAGACAGGAGCTTCCGTGTTGTGATGGCTTGCAGTAAGGTGTGTGAGTGGTGATAGGGTGCAGTCTGACTGCTGATAAACCTCTTCCAGCCCGCTCATGCTTGGTTTGGCTGCAGCATTCAGCATAAGTGGGTTGATCAGAGCTGCAGACCCTGGCTGTCCAGGGTGAGCTGACCTTCTCCTGCAGTGATGACATGCATGCATTACCTGAGGGTGAGTACTTGGGCATGTCCAGGGGTTTGTTGGGCAGCAAAAGAGGAGAGGAATCAAGTCAGCTGGTTTGCACGAGGGAGTTTAGGTATGTTCTGGCTGGTAATATAATCTTCAGACCAAAGATAAGGCCTCTTCTCCCCAAACAGTTGCTGCTAAATGGACCTCAGACTAGCAGGAAGGGTTTGCTGCCCTTCTTAGGTCATTGGTAACTTGCCTAAGGTCATCCTTGGAGCCAGTGACAGTGCCTGGCATTAAAACCAGGTCCCTCGGTGCTGCATTTGCCTTGTCCTTCTCACCACTGCTTTACTGGGAGAAGGGAGGTGCCCCAGGCGTTGGTTTTTTGCAGTATTGTGATGCCAGATGTTGATTCCCATGTTGTCACCTTTCTGCCCTGGGACAGGTGCACAGGATGATGTTTCTCTCTCAGCACAGTGCTGCGCTAGCTCTGCTGTGGAGCAGGTAGCTTTGCTTGCATGTCCTCATCAGGGATCTGCTGGCAGAGATATATTACTAGGCCTGTGCTTCTGGTGCTTTTCTGTCAATGCTTTCTTCCCTGCATGGCTTCCAGAGGTTGCACCCCAACCACTGGCCAGGCAAGCCTGGCTTAAGGCTCAAGACAGTAAATCTATGGTAACAACAGCACGAGGACTGTACTGTGATACCACCCAGCATGCAGATCCTAGCAGAAAACCCCTTCTAAGCACTTTTGTTCATGCAGGCAAAGCAGGTGTGGACTAGTCCTGCTGGAGGAGAGGTAGGGAATGAGTCAGAACAGACTGCAGAAATCAGGAGCAGTTTATAAGCGTCACTAGGACAGAAAAGGAAGCTTCTTCACAGGGCAGCAGGGCAGATTCTGATGGTATGATCTGACTCCAGCACCTCACCTAAGCATGAGGGCACTGACAGAGCCCAGGTCGGGTTGAGGCTGGTCTAGAAGCTATGTCTTCGTCCCAGGCTGACATCAGGCAGGCTCAGAGCATGTCTCTGATTCCCCCCGGCACTGTCAGCATGCTAGAACCCGCTCATCTCCACAGTGTTTATTGCACAGACCTACCTGAACCATGTCATGGTTCAAAAAAGGTAGTGCACAGGAAAGCAGGAGATAGAAAGCTGTTGCTCTGCTGCTGCGTCTCTCTTGGCAGCTGTAAATGTTGTTATGTTATTAGAAGAGGTGTAGTGCCTGAGCAAAGAGCTCTCATGTATTGTCTTCAGTCACAGTCTATGTATTTTTTGATGAGGTAAAAATAGCTTTTCTTTTTCAGGATATGCAGAGAGCAGAGGCTCCTGCTAACATCAAAGGAGAGTGACAGCTTTCCCCTGGGTGTGCGTGGCCTCAGCTGGCAGGAGCAGTAGCTGTGTTAATTCTTGCCTCGCTTTCACTCTGTGTGAAAGAAAAGATGTTCTGGTCTCCTTTTCCTGTTCAGGTCTCTGGACCAGCCTCTAGTTCACTCTCCACTCTCCACTGCTGCTGGAGACCTAGCACTGTACTTCAAAGGGAAAGTGATAGTTTGCAAATAACAGAACAAGATCTTGAACATGTTACTTAGAAAATCCATTAGGCAGCGGGCAGGTACAGCAGGCTTTCACAGAGCTGCAGGCTGCAGCCCTCCAGGGGATCCTTAACAGAAAGATCAGTCTGCTGTGTAGGGGGCATCTCCTTGCTGTCTTGCTCTGTGCAGATATCTGCCCTCCTCACAGTCCTGAACCTGTTCCAGTTGAAGCAGCCAGCAAAGGGGATCCATGAGCGGGGAAGGAAGGAGTCAAATGGCAATGCAGATATCCGTATCTGAAAATGCTCAGCAGGGCATCAGTTAACCTTTACCCTGACCTGTACCACCAGTGACAGTCCAGAACTACCTCTCCTGTTAAGAGTGCACAAAAATGAGCTTTCCAAAAACTCATTACTCATGATTATATAATGGTGGAGGATTGTGCATGATGGAGAAGCCAGTCTGATGCTGGCACTGGAGAGCTTGCCCTCTCTTCAGCACTAGAAAAATGCTAATTGACAGGTTGCTTCCCTTCCCCCAAATCTGCCGGGGCCTTCCTTCCCTCCTTCTTCTGCTTTGGGATTTCTCCTTTGCCAGTTGTGTCAAGTTCTTCTCCAGCTCTATCCTTTGCACAGGAACATAAACAGATCTTTCACTTCCTGCATGCTCTGATTCACCTGCTACAAGATGGTGGAGCTCCCCCCTGCATCCTGCTCTGGGGATCTCTGCTGGGTGTAGAAGCCATCAGCCTCTGTGGTATGTGCTTTGGGGCTGTTGTAGAATCTCCACTAAGCAGAAACGAGCATGGACAAAGGGTTTACTCAGGCTGGTGCATGAAATGAGAACAAACTCACTTGGCAGATGCCTTCCAGAGATGATTTCTTGTGTCTTGACTCTCATCATGGATGCTATTAAGATCTGCGGACCTTTGCTAAATCATGTGGGCAGAGGTGAGGATGATGGGAGAATGGAACTTGGACATATGGATTTATCTGTCATGAATCATGTGGATAGGGGTGAGGATGATGAAAGAATAGAATTTAAGCATCTGGGTTTTTCCTTTCATCAGATTAATTTTCCCAATGCTTTTGCTTTTCTCTTTCTTCTGGGTTTGCAGTCTCTTCCTGTTCTGTGTGTTCTGCTGGCTGACTGCCTGAGGCTTTGCTACTGTGGCCTGTCTGGAGATGCTGTATTCTGCTGAATGCTGCCTTCTACTCAGAAGGCAGAAACCTGCCAGTAGGTTTTGTTTCTGCTGCAGCGCCCATTGAGAGCATCCAGTTTCTGTTAATATAGATAGGAGAGAAAGTTCCTGTTAAGACAGTATGGATTCTGTTTCTGAGTGCTTTAAGTTGAATCTCCTATCTTCCCTGATTACCCTATGGGGTCCCTAGGTGTTATCCCTCACTGCTCTTAATCTTAGCAGCTCTTTTAATGTGTTTTGAGGACTGACAAATTCTTCTCATCTGATGAGAAAGGATTGAGGTTATCACCTGCAGAACTATTTAGTTGATGTCTGCAAGGCAGAGAGTTCCAAATGAGCATTGGCTCCAGAGACATTCCTATGTTGGACAGTTACTTAAAAGTAAACCACTACGTTGATGTGAGGTTTTGCTGTTTCTGCTGGAAATAATGCCTCAAAGGTGAGGATCGTGCCCACTGTTGGACACAAGCTCACATGAGCAAGGAAATGTCCAAGCAAAAGGCAAGGCCTGTTGCCCTTGGCGAGAGTTTATCACACATCCTCAGCTGGCAGTGCTGACTTTAGGTTCCAGGACACTGGCACTAGAAGCTGGAAGTAACTGGATGACCTCCGAGATTTGAGTTGGACCTTTCCACAGCATCTAGACAGGATGCCCATAGTAATACATGGCTTGGTGCCAGGATTAGGGTTTGCATCTCACTGCCAGTCCTGGGGTTCTTTGGCTGTTGGGGTGACTGTGTGCTGCCCAGCCTTCTGGTGTTTCCTTGCTGGACCTCCTGTCTGCTGCTCAGTGAGCCTGTGTCAGCTTGGCTGAAGAGACAAATGGGCAGACAGGGTAAAGAGGGCAATGCAGCAGGATGCGTGTGTGCCAGGCTGGAGTAGTGTGGGGAGTTGCTTCTTGACTGTCTTTGTGACCCAGAAAACACTGTGAAATCATCACGAGTCCCTGAACTCATTTGTACTTGGAAATCATCTGCTTGCAGCATTTAGCAGCTCATACGGTGTGGGCTCCTGCCAAGTGTGGCCACCTTTAACAGGAGGAGGCAATGCTGAGACCCTCCCTTCTGTTATCAGTGATGAGCAGCAGGAGCTTGTGGGAGCTCCTCCCTGGGTGTGAATGAGAGCAGGCACTGCCAGAAGAGATTAGAGCAGGACACTGACGGTGGCCAGAGACACAGCAGGCTTAGAAACCTCTCACTGCAGCCCTTGAAATCCATCCTGAGCCTCTGGTTTGACTTCCCCTTTGCTTTGTAGCTTTGGCCATGGCTACAGTGCAACGTGCAATTGTGGTTCCAGGCGAATGGCACTACTGTGTGAGAGAAGGAGGACACCTGACAAAAGGAACAGAAGAAGCCTCCCCTCAGAGCCAGAAGAGGGTGTCATGAGAATCTATTGATTCTGAAACCAGGACAGAGGGAAAGGGAAAATTTAGATTGTCAGCAGACAAGGGGAGATTTTTCCTGAAGGAAAAGAAAAGGACGGAGAGTAGAAACAAAGTCTGATGTGCTGTGCTAAGTTTTCGACTTTAGAAGATCTTGGAGCACTTAACAAAGTCCTGATCTGAGGTTCTCTCTTGTAGAATTGCTGGCAACAGCCTCCTGACATTGGATGTCTGCAAATCTGTAGAGCATGATGCCTGTATATAGGATTTAACAGCCACCTAAGAGTACAGGAGGTACACAACAGCAAGTGAGGCAGCTTATTTTCTCCCCTGGAATATCTCCTTACTGAAAAATTGCTAGGAAGGCAAAGGAGAAGGGAAAGAAACTCTGCAAACTCCAAATAAAGGAAAATCAGCAGAGACAATTTCTGCATCTGGAAGCAGTTGCTCTGTGTCCTGGGGCACACAGCGAGTGGCTGTGTGCATGTGAGGCACGGTTGTGCAGCGCTTTGTGCTTGTTGGTGGGTGCTGATAACTGTGCAATGTGTGTGTCTGAGGCTGGGTGAGTTGAGATGATGCTGACTGGGATATGTGTATGTATCTTCTCCATGTGCATATCTACTTGTGTTCATGTGCTTGTGTTCAGTGCTCCCTTTTGCTGAAATTCGGGAGATGGCAGTGACCCAGCCTGTGCTTCCATTTTCTGGGGAGCAAATTGCCCTGAGCAGCAGCTGGGCAGTCTCATTGTGCAGCCTGACATCAGAAGGACAATATGACTGTGGATCTGCTTTTACCATTTGAGCCAAGCTATTCCATCTTCTCTGGTGGAATGTGTGGTCAGATTGCTGGTGTCTGATGCCCTGTATCTCTCTGTGCATCTCTGTAAGGCCCCTGCTGAGCATGGGGAGCAAAAGGGCAGCACCTCTGACACACTCCAGCCTTGGCATATTTTCCAAGGCCTGGACCCCAGCATCCAGAGGGTCATGAGGGAACCCAAATCCCTCTCCTCTGTGGCAGGAGTTACCTGTGAGTTTCCAGGCTCCTGGGCATATCTGTGGGGCTGCTTTTCCTCTGCTGTTCCTGAGGTGGTACCTGCAGCTCTGACCCCCTCCCTGTGCTTGGCAGCAGTCATTTGCTTTCTGGAGGTGGCTTGGTATTAAATATCCTGTCTGACACAATAATGGAGAGAAAATGAACAAATTCCATTAGCAGCTGGCGATCCTTGCAGGGTCTGCATTGGAGAGAGGACAGAGCCTGTATTTTTAGATAGAATGCAATGTAACTTACTGGCTCTCTCAAAGCTGGGGAGTAGATAACCAAGGAGGGAGAGAGGGGACACCAGGCTCAGGTTTCAGCCGAAGTGCCGGACTATGGCAGCACGAAAGGGCAGGTCTGGTCCAGACGTGGCTGTGAGTATTCAACACGCTTCTCCTTCATGCCCACCGAGACCTCCGCTTTGCTTTTCTGCTCGCTTTCTGCTTGTAGTCTCTGCTGCTGGGTGTGCTAAGGCTTTGAGAGCCTTAGCTTTGCTGCAGGGCCATGTAGAGTTTTACTATTTAATCTTCAGAGCTCCATGTGTGTCCCATGGATGGCAGATCCTGGCTGAGCTGTGCTTTGAATTTCCAAGGGTTTGCTGCCTTGTTATTGATCCTGACCTGAGAAGCAGAGGCTTCTAGCAGTGTCTGGAGTTGGAAAAGCTCTTTGCATTCAGCCTGTTGCTTGAAGCTGTCAGCATTTCCTCACTGGACCCCAGACAGCATGCAGAGCTCAGAGCATGAATGTGCACTTCTAAGCACAGTGCTGGTGTTGCCTTCTGCCTCTTGCAGTTGATCCTTCTGTGTGGGCAGGGCACTGAGGTGCTGAGTCTCCTCTGCATTCACAGCCTTCCAAAGCCACAGCTTCGCTGTGAACCTGGGGGCTCTTTCCTGAGAGATGGGGCTCTCATCTGAGCTGGAAGCAAGCAGAGCCAGCTGGCACAGGAGGTGATGAGATCAGCACATGTTTCCCCTGCACGCGGAGGCTGCGCACCGTGCTGGGGCACGGTGGTGCTGCCCTCCACCACCTGTCCTTCTGACCCATGGGCTGCCTGGAGGGGCCACGGCACCTTGCCACCACGATGGTAGCCTGGCCTGAGCTCTGTGCCTGGCCCAGCAGGGCCAGGTCACCCAGCCCGTGGGCCTCACCTCTGCAGTGGGGAACAGGGTCCCAATGGCCCCAGGGCATGTGCCTTTCTCTGTGGTAGGACTGGCAGGCTGAAAGGATGAGCTGGGGGAGGCAGATGGAGGAGGCCAGAAGTCATCTGAGTTGTGCTGCTCCAAAGTCCCAGTTCAAACGTCTGAGACTGCAAAGAGAAGGGAAAGAGAGGAGCCCTGAACCTGTGTGGTGCATCATCCTCCCTAATATGCCTCCAGTGCTTTTGTCTCTGGCTGTGTTGCTTCCAGCTCCTGTCCAGGAGCTTCCTAATCCTGGATGCTCCTCTGCAATCAGGCTGTGGGCAATACAGGATGGCTTGGGGTGGCAGAACAGAAGCTTTCCTAGCACAGGAGATCCCTTGGTCAGTCCTGATGTGAGTGGTACAAGAGGGGCTCTGATTTTCCCTTGGAGCTGAAGACAGAGAAGTGTGTCATGCCATGGATATCTTGTGGCTCTTGGCTGCAGACAGCCCTTTGGGCTGGCCCGAGCAGGCATATACCACCTCCAGTTACCAGTTCAAGTTCCCAGACTCACAGATCAACATCACTGCATTTCCACCCTGTTCTCCAGCTTCTAGTGAGCCATGCCATTGTCTCCATTTGCTGCCTCACACTGCTAAGTAGTGTTGCTAAAAGTATTGCTGTGCCTTGCCTGGGCTGGCTGTGGTGTAGCAGGGAAGCACTGCCAAAAGAGAGAGTTGTGACTTTCACAGCTGTGAGGTGCTCAGCTGGGGCCATTGTCCCTGGTGCTGGTACCCAAGCTCATCACTGTTGCTACTCAGTGGCTTCTGGAGAAGTGTAGGGGTGGGCTCACTACAGCTCCATCAGTGTAGTTCCTCAGCCCAGGCACGGAGGGGTTTCCTGGGCCAAGGGAGGCTGTCAAGGTGGCAGGAGTTCCCTCCCTACTGTCCCCATAGTGTGATGGGACAAGCTGCAGACTTTCTGCCCCATTATCTGGATGCTCTTCACTCTAAGTGCAGGTCCCAGACCTTCTTTTTCCTGTCTGATTTGGGTGAGGCACCTCAGCCTGTCCCAGCAGTTGTGACTTTCCTGGCCTCTGCCTTTTCTGCCTGGTCTGTGTATTTATGTTCTCTGCAGCTGAGCGAAGAGTTGACCCATTGCTGGTGGTGGGGGAGAACAAAGGGGCTCAGAGTTTCATGCTTTTTCTTTTTGTCCCCAAGGCTGATGCTGCAACCAGTTTCTTGAGAGCTGCAAGATCTGGGAATCTGGACAAAGCCTTGGATCACCTCAGGAATGGGGTAGATATTAACACCTGTAACCAGGTAGGTGAAACACACAGAGCTTCTGGTACTATCTCTAGTTCATTGAAAATGTGGCTGACCAGAGAGCAGACTTGGATCAGTTATCTTTGGGGCCAGGAGGACAGCGATAGATATAAAGATCTGGGGAGCCTGGATGTACTGGCTGGAGCATAGCAAAGGACATTAACAGGTAAGCAGAGGGGGCTCCTTTTGTGTGAAAAGCAAATGGGACAATTGGAAGAAGCTCAGCTGCTTCTCAGAGGGCAGAGCTGTGAAGAGTAGTACAGTGACTGGAACATCACAAAAATGGCTTGTAGGGGTTATTCCCCTTGCCTGCAGTGCTGCAGTCTGAGGCTTTTGGATTCCTAGAAGTTGCAGTTTATCACAAGCAGAGAATGTTTGCAAAATGCCACTTGTGGTGGTTTGGGAGGTGTTGGGCAGGAGGAGCCCTCCTCGTCCTGCACAGAAACAGGTTTGTACAGGAGCAAAGAGCTGCAGGCACTGAGGAATTGTTTGCACATCATCATCAGAACATTTTGTATCTGTGTAGCTGCCAAATGCAAGTGGCTGAGCCTGAACTGGGGCAGATGCTGTAGGGACAGATTCAGGGGGCTTAGGCTGAGCAGGGGGAGCAGACAGGCTGTGTGCTGTCACTGCTTTCTGGAGCAGTGGTGTTGCTGGGGAGGCTGACTCAGCAGGTAGCACAAAGGCAGACTCATCTGTTTCAGTGTCAAGTCCCCAAACCAAGTGAAGTTCAGAGCTGATTTGTGCACTGCCACAGCCAGTGCAGTTACTGGGGACAGCTTCCCACAGGGCAGGCAGAATGCACCATGGATAGTCAGTCATCTCCCATAGCAAGCCTAAGAGGAGAGGGAGAATTTCTACATCCACTGGTCCTGTAACTAGCCCAGAGGGGTGTGGGGTTCTGGAGAGGGATCTGTAAAGAATTACAACAAGGTGACTCATCCACCAGCTAAAGATGATGGCTTTGAACTTCTTCACAAAAGAGATGGTCTGTCATCAGCTATCTCCACTGATTAGCTTCAAGTCCTGTTTCCAAACAGATTTCTGGTGCTGGGGAAGGCATTTACCATTTTGATGGAAAGACAATGGCTACAGCAGTATGAGGTTCTTCTCTCAGTGATGTCTTTGCACTGATTCCTGCCATCTCCCTGAGGTTAGATGGCACTTTGGGGTTTCCTTCTGAGGAATATCAGACCTGTGGGAAAGGTCCAACCTCACATGTCCTGTATAGAATAAAGAGGGATATATGTGGTCAGACCTATCCCACAAGTCCTGTATTCTTACTCAAGTTCAGAGACCTTGACATGCCATCTGATCTTCATCCCGCCGATTTCACCTCCTTCATTGCTGCATCAGTGCCTTCATCATGCATCTTTTGTGTTTCAAATTCTGACATGGTCCCATCTCATCCACAAGGAGCTGAAGGACTGCGGATGAGTGTACATTGCTGCCAGGACTTTCACCAACAGGGAACAGCATTGTGATGGCATGTGGGTGCCCAGGAGATGGTCTTTGTTGAGGTGGCCAGTCCTGATGGGCAGTCCAGAGCAGGTCCCTGCTTTGGGATAGGCTAAGTGTGAAGTCTCTGTGTTATTCTGTAGGGCTGCATTTGTCACACTGATAGCTACTGACTGGGATTTCTGGGAATTATCTGCAACATTTAGTGAGGAAAATACAGCACCTTTCAAATGATGTGGTGTTGCAGTGCACACCAGGCGGGGCGTGCGGGGCGGCTGTGGCAGGGGTGCGACCGTCCCCCTGTGAGCTCTGCAATTCCCAGTTATCAGCAGGGACAGACAGCAATGACACGGGGCTTGGGGTGGGACAAGATGGATTTATTCCTGGGCTCCCAAACAGGACTGGGGCGGGGTGAACAGAAGTTTTTATACGGCAACTCAGGAGGCGGGTGTAGGAAAGTGAACCAGTGAGGATATGGAAAGGGAGGAATATAAGGTGGGGCAAAGAGCTTATGAGCCTATCAGGGAAAATGGGGCAGGGGAATAATACAGAGTAACAAATGAGGTGTCGAGGGCAACAAGACACGCACAGAGCTCTGGAGAAAAGGGTAGGGGATAGGGAGGATTGAAAACTTGGAAGGGAGGAGGTTAGGGAAGGGCTTCGGAAAATTGGCAACTGGGAAAGGGAGGGGATTAGGGGGGAGAACAGGGGGCAAACATGGATTCAAAGCAACACACCACAACATCTCCCTGTTTCTTTTTACAAAGGAGAGGAGAGTTCTGGGGTTCAAAACAAATTAATGAATCTATTATATAACACATCATATACATAACCTATCATATAACAGATTTTAGCATATGATAAATTATTACAGCAACAGAAAATAATTCAAAAATTATCAGGAAAAAATAAACTACTCATGACCATAATGCATGGGGTAAGGATCTTCTTCGCATAAGAAACTTAATATAAAATGTACAAAGCTATTATATACGGAATCAGGGTCAGGAGTAGGAATTGCAGCGGAATTATCTTGAAGTAAGACTGGGCTTGAAGCATGAATCACTGAGGAATCTGCAGGTTCTGGCTTTCTGAGGTTTGAAAGTGATTTTGGAGGTCACTCCTCTTGTAGGATGTGATCAGGAAATGGAGATGTGGTCTTGCTCATTTTATTTTATGTAACGGTGGTTATTAACTGGACAGAGTGACTCCTCTCTCTATAATATATAACTTAACAAGCAAATTATTTTAAAGTATCAAGAATATACAGAACAAATTTTTAGTCAAGAAATTGAGTTGGAAACATGGGAAAATGGTTAAACAAAAATCAACAAAAATCATGAAGTTTAAATAAGGTCTAAAGGTAAATTAATGAACTCTTTTTCCAAAGCGTACTGTGAGAACTTTAAAATAATATGAAAATTAAAAAGAACACTTGGGAGG